CCCATTCCCTCTGAGTAGAATAAACTCCCCATTCCTTCCTTGCTGGGGGTAATAGTTCTTAATCACTTCTAAAAGGCATTTAGAAACGTATGGGAACTTGTTATGACAATGAACAGGGGGAAGGGAGAGCATCAGGGCTGGCAGTTAGTTAGTGCCTAGGGAACAAGAACATCCATGCTTGGGACAGTCCTGCATAGTAATGACCCGGCCCCAAAGGCCAATAGTGTCCCTATTAAGAAGCATTATAGGTCGACGTTAATCACTGTTACCCCGCCTCCCCAGTCCTAACAGAGAGACCAGACACACTATAATCAATGAGGATGCTTAACAATACTGGTTCTGAAATCCGGTTCCCACCTTCACGCACACCCTAAAGCACTTCTCTATTTAACCCTCATCCACTGCTTTTGTGCAAAACAAATTAAAAGCCCACCTATTCTGCTCACTGGGGAAGCTGCACGCTGTAGCACTTGTTTCTCTGCCATACCCACTGGTGGTGGCATGGAACTGACTCAGTGAGAAAGCCACCCCTTCTGTTTCTCTTTCAATCCTTCGTATCATGTCTTTTTGGTGCTAGTATGTCTTTAATTAGAGGGTTCAACTTCAAAGCAATTGACATCAAACTAAAACAGCATTGTTTTGCCTTCCTTGTATTTATCTGACCATTTAGATAGGTTCTACAGATTTCCCATTTAAAATAGTGATATAAAATTTCATTTTAAATAACTTCATGTATTAAAAAATGTATTTTACATGAAATAAGTTGATATAAAGAAAGCAATTAAGTAATAGTAAAAATGGTACTTGGACATGGCAGAAAGGATGAAGGGAATCCTGGCATGCTGTCACCTGGTAAACACAACGGGAGAACCGCAATAAAACGAGGTATGCCTGTGTTGCCCTTAACAGGGTCTCTTCATCCTATCCTAGCCTATCTAATAAAAGGCTAATATGCAAATCAACCTAATGGCAGAAAGACTGAGCTATGATGCTATGACATGCACTGACCACCAGGGGGCAAATGCTCAACACAGGGGCTTCCCTCTGGTGGTCAGTGGGCTCCCACAGGGGGAGGGAGCAGCTCAGCCAGAAGCCGGGCTCACAGCTGGCGAGTGCAGGGGCAGTGGCAGGAGCCTGCCTTTGCAGCAAAGCTATGGATGTCCCACTGCCCACGGGGAGCCCGACTGCGAGAGGGCGCAGGCCCAGCTGAGGGACCTCTCCCCGCCCCCCTGCCCCCCAGTGCACAAATGTTGTGCACCAGGCCTCTAGTATTTACATATTATCATCAGCCCACTAAAACAAGGATTGTAAATCTCTTCATCCCCAGTCCTAACAGAGAGACCAGACACACTATCATCAATGAGGATGCTTAACAATACTGGTTCTGCAATTTGCATTATTAACAGCATCTGGAGCAGAACTGGGCACCCAATAACCTCTCCCAATAAATACAAGTTAAACAAATGTATGAATTTCACTCTCACCATTCAATTCATATGACTTTGGATAACTCACATAGCTAACACAAACTCTGAGCCCTGAACTTATCCACCAGACAAAGAACTGTGCTTCCTAAGGATTTAACAGAACAACTCTAGCGCCTCCAGGCAAAGCTTGCAGCAACCTGAATTTTGAAATAATGGGGCAGGACACAGTCTACAGAAAGTTCCTAAGAGGACCACACACCTACATGCCACAATCCTGATTTTAAAGACCAACCCCCAAAACTATGATTCCTTTGGGTGTTCTCAACCCTTTTGGTGCTACGGATCCTTTGCCCGTCTGCTGAACACTGTGGCCCTCTTTTGAGAATAACCACTTAAATATATAAAACAAAATACAGAAGCCAATCAATTCTACCGAAATACAGAACCGAATCTTTGAAGTCTCCTACGCTTTTCTTGCCGCAGTGAAAGTGAGATGAGAAAAATTTGGAGGATGAAGAATCCCAAGGAAACGACACTCCGAGGTCCACCACTGAGCACCCTACTTGGACGGGGAGGTCCTGGGCGCCAGTCCTGGGCGCGCACCGCCAGCTGCCAGCTCTAGAGGGGGCGTTGGGAGACCAGGAGGGCAGCCAGGGCTGGGGTCTGGGAAGAGGGTGGGGGCTTCTTCTCCCAGTGCAGCGGGCCGAGTTCCCAGGGCC